TTTTTTTTTAATAACTGCCTAGTATTCCTTTGTGTTTGAGTGAAATTTATTTAACCTTTTCTCATGGATGTGCGCATAACATTGGAAACACATAACATTGTTTCCAGCATTTTGTCACCATAAAGTGCTGCCGTGTACAATGGGTAGCTGCACTTACATCATTTTGCATACGAGGATTCTATCTGAAGGAGAGATTCCTGGAAGTGTGATAGCTGGATCAGAAGCAGTAAGCATTTGTCATTTAAGTGTAATTTTCAACTTGTCCTGTGTAAGGGTTGTACCAACTCTCTTCCTCATCATTAAGGTAAGAAAGTGCCAGTTCCCCACAGCCTCACCACCAGCAGGTATTACCAAACCGTTTGACTGTTGACAATTTGTTGGGTCAAAATGGTATCACAGTAGAGTTTCAATGTACCTTTCTCTTATGCATTTGAGAATCTTCTCAGTGACTAAGAACCATTTGTCTTTCTTTCTTTGTGAGCTCAAGGTTTGTATCTTTTGCTAACTTTCCATGGTCTGTTATAGTATTTTTCTTGTAGATTGTTTCCCAGAGCTCTTTATATATTATGGACTTTATTCCTTTTGTTATAAACTATAATTTACTCTGCCATTTGTCTTTAAAAAATTATTTATTATTTTTTAAATTTATTTTTAAAATTGTCATTTGTCTTGACTTTGTTCAGAGTAATTTTTACCTTGCAGAATTTTTTTTTGATGTTTACTTAAAGTCAACTGTTTTAATCATTCTCTTTATGGTATCTTAGCTTTATGTCATACTGGGAAGGGGGATTAACTTTGATAAGTAAGGAGAATCATTCTGAGTAGAGGGACTAGGAGGTGCAAAGGTCCTGAGGTAAGAAGGAGGCTAGGCATATTAGTCAGAGCTCTGCAGAGAATCAGAACCAATAGGAGGTAGATGTAGGGAGAAAGAGAGATTTATTTTAAGGAATTGACTCACACAATCGTGGAGGCTGACAAGTCTGAAATTTGCAGGGTAGTCCTGCATGCTGGAGACCCAGCAAGAGTTGCAGTTTGGGTCTGAGGCAGTCTGCTGGCAGAATTCCTTCTTCCTTGGAGGGAGTCAGTCTCTGTTTCTTAAGGCTTTCAACTGATTAGATGAGGCCCACACACATAATGGAGGGCAATCTGTTTTACTCAAAGTCTACTGATTTAAAACTAAGTCCTATCTAAAAAATACTTTCACAGCAACATATAGACTGGTGTTTGACAAACATCTGGGCACCACAGCCTAGCCAAGTTGACACATAAAATTAACCATCACCAGTCCACCCATTGTCACCTTGGCTGGCAGATACCTTAAACCATACTTAATCTTCAAATAAAGTCAACAACAAGAGCCAGCCCTGATAGCCTAGTGGTTAAAGTTGTGCATGCTCCACTTTGGCTGCCTGGGTTCGTTTCCTGGGTGTGGAACCACACCTCTCGTCTGTCAGTAGCTGTGCTGTGGCCGTGGCTCACATAGAAGAAATAGATGGAATTATAACTAGGCTATACAATCAGGTACTGGGGAGGAAAAGAGAGAGGAAGATTGGCAACTGATGTTAGCTCAGGACAAATCTATCCCAGCCAAAAAAAAAAAAAAACTCTCAAAAAGGACAAAAACAAGATCATGTTCTCACCTAATATGATAAAACCATCTGTGTGCAACCAAAAACGGACTTATGCTTTTCCCTGGAAGAGGAGATAAAGTTCTTGAGTGATGTTTACTCTTCTCCTTCATGTCTGGTAAGTTCAATACTATGATATAAGGTCAATCATCTTACCTTCCATGATATGGGGATAAGACAGGGAAGAAACCAAAGATATTTGCTTACTCTACGTAGACACAAATATGTGTATATATCCATGCGCTATGTATGCACACACATGCACAAACATATTCATAACACAACAAGGAAGAAATGGTCACGGCAATTACAGTCCTCGTTTCTGTAACCGGTCACATGGTTGTAGCTGGTGATTGTAACAACCTTCAGAACCACACTTGGTACCAAAATCTGTCTTCGTCTGCTGGGGCTGCCAGAACAAAACACCACAGACTAAGTGGCTTAAACAGCAGACATGTATTTTCTCACAATTCTGGAGGCTGGAAGTCCAAGATCAAGGCATCAGCATGGTTGGAGTCTTCAGAGCCCTCTCTCCTCGGCTTGCAGATGGCTGTCCTCTCACTGTGTCCTCACACGGTCTTCCCTCTGTCTGTGTTGTCTCTGCCATAACCTCCCCTTTTTATAAGGACACCAGTCATATTGGGTTAGTGCCCGCCCTAATTATTTCATCTTAAATTAGTCACCTCTGTAAAGACGCGATCTCCAGATGCAGCCACATTCTGAGGTCCTGGGCAGTTGGACTCTATCATGTGAATTTTGGGGAGACACAATGCAGCCTGTAACAGCACATTTGAGGAAGAGAAGGCTGACTGCTGTGGCTGGGGTGAAGGGGGTAGGAAGGAAAGCCAAGGAGTTTGTAGATATTGGCAGAGGATTTAGGGCTGTCATAAGAATTTGGGTTTTGTTTTACACGTGATGGAAATCCACCAGAGTGTTCTGAACTATGTTTTGTAAAAACCCTCTGCAAGGGGTCTTATGGAGGGCAAGAGGGGTGACTAGGACACCGAGGAGGAGGCCCCCACAATCTTCCAGGTGAGCAGTGAAGGGTCCTGGGCTGGGCAGGAAGGATGGAGTGATGGGGGTGGTTTGGCAGTATTAGAAGAAAAGGACTTGGGGGTCAGTGTGTAAACAGACACCAACCAGTTGGAAGTCGATGGTAGAAATGTGTCTAGAAAAGGGACATGACCCACCACGTTCTCCTGTCAGACCCACTAGGAAGGATCTGGTAGTCAGAGACCCCATTTCTCGGTTTCCTTAGATTTCAGTACAGTGCTGGGCACATAGTGGATGGTCAATGACTGTTCATGGAATGAATGCATGAATGACTTAAAACCAGAAGTGGAAGAATTTGGGGATGGTGGGCTTGGGAGAGATTAGATTCCCAGGGTGTGTGTGGAAATGGTGGTGGTGGGGGTATCAGGATTTCTGGTGCTCTGGCTGCTCCAGGTGGGGGATGGCAGGCAGAGAGTGTGGACAGAAGTTTACCTATGACTCCTTGGTGCAGGTGAGATTTCCAACAAAAGACTTGAGGCAGTGAGCTCCCCATCTCTGAGAGTGTGCAAATGGGAGGGGTGCATTTATGGAGGGTTGTAGAGGAAATTTCTCTGGTAGAAAAGGTTTGGAGCTAGGGAAACCTTAGTCTGGTCTAAATGAGATTCCTTTGGGTTTCCCAGCAGCCCAAGGGTGGCAGGGGTTTCCGCAGCCTGTCCCACATCCCTTCTGTGGGTGTGTGGCTGGCGGTGCCCTGAGGACACCGTGTGGGTTGGGTCTCACGAGCTCTGGGATGCAGTCCTCATGGTTCTAAATTCCAGGCAGCCCTCAGCCCATGAGCTTGGAGGTGCTGCCCCCTGGTGGGAACAATAAGCAGTTCTTCCTCACCACCATAATCTCTTGGGGGTTCTTGTGGATTCTACAGGTTGAGGCTGCCTGTGTGTGGGCGTAGGGTTGGTGAAGCAAGGGTGGTCCAACATGCCTGTTTGTGATCTGGGGGTCTTGTTCTGTCTGCAGAGCATCTACTGGCCCAGGATGAGGCTGGAGCCACTGCCCAGTCCCCAGGGCACAGTGGGAGAGGGAGGGTGGGGATAACCAGACCCTCACCCACCCCCATTGCCTGATGGCAGATGCCGGGATGGGTCGGGTGGGCTCAGTGCTCCACAAATAAATGAATTTCTCCTCTGGAATATTCCTGCTTAAGAACGAAGCTGGCAGGTGAGTCAGAGACACACAGAAAGACTCAGGGAGAGGTAGAGACAGAGAAAGCCTGTGAGAGATGCTCGATAAACATTGACTGGTTGAAGCAATGAAAGGATGAATGATTTCCTGGACTGAAGGAGGAGAGGACGCAGCGTTCACATGGATAACCTCTGGCAGCTTGTGGTTATTTTATTGATAAACTGGGAGGGCGTGTCCTGGATAAACATGTCTAGGCTGCCGGCTGGGGGTCCTGATGTTCACTGGGCTGGATGACAGCGTGAATGCAGAGGGTCCTGCCTCCAGCAGGGGCGCAGGGTGGGTGAGGATGAGGGCAGAAGGAGGAGGGAGGACCCAGGGTAACCTGGGGGGAGATGAACCAACTTCCCTGTGCTGAGAGGCTGGACTCCTACTCCAGGCCCCTGCAGAGACAGGGTGGGGCGGGAGACACGCCATAGGACAACCTCAGGGCAGGTCCCAGGGAGGGCCCTGGGATGGTGTTACAGGAGTACACTGAGAGAGGTCTGGGGAGACGGCATGAACGACTAGTGGAACGGAGGGAGATGGGGATGGACAGCTGGGTCACGGTGCGCTGGGCAGCCCTTGGGAACGTCACTGCCCATTCATGTCTCAACCAGTGGGATGGGGCCTGGGGGTGAGTCCCCAGGAGTCTGAAAACCCAAGGTTGGGTTGGGGTGTCCTGGGGGTTCATCATGGGGCAACTCTGGGAGAGTGCCTTTGGGGAGGGAGTTAGGGGGTCAGAACACAGGGGAGGGACCTAGGGCATCAGTGGGGTCATCATGGAATGGTCCTCGAACCCAGAGCCTTCCTGGGAGGACTCCAGGGGCTGAGGACTGGGGTCAGGAGGTGCAGTGTGAGAGAGACCGTGCGAGAGTATTTCCAGGGGGATGCAGAGTAAGGGGGTGGGCTGAGAGTGGTGGGGGCCATCCTGGGGGTTTGGGGTTTCAAAGCATGGTGTTCTTTTGGGGTACGGATGGGGGATGGGTTGTGGGAGCACTTGGATAGAAGGAAGGAGTCTGGGGAGCAAATCATGTGGGGAGGGCAGAGTTCAGGGGAGGAGGGGCAACTTGGGGCATGGGCTTTGGACACTGGGGGGTCCTTTAGCGGGCCATTGTTGGGGAAACCCCTGAGGGTCAGAACTTGGATCTTTGTGGTGGATGTGGGGGCTCGGAGCTTGTGGGGAGGATTCTGCGGTGCTCAGCACATCAGGGTGCAGGAGAACTTTGGATAAACAGATGGGAAAACCAGTGAGGTGGTGGATTTGGGGGGCTCAGAACCAGGGATGTCTTGGCAATTGGATCTTGGGGGTATCTTTGCAGGGATTAGAAATTGGGGCAGATTATGAGGGTGCACCTAGGGGTCGGAACACTCATGGAAAGATTCTGGGGTGGGGATGGAGTGCCCGGTGCAGTTTCTTTGGAGAGGAGAGGGTTGTGGGGTTGGTTGAGGGTCCTTGAGGGATATAGCAAGAGGATGAACTGGGGGGTCTGAGAACCCAGGGGAATCTTGGGGGCCTATATCAAGAGCAATAGATCATGGAGGTGGGGCTGAGAGGTCAGAATCTGGGGACGTCTTGGGGGTGGGCATGGTTGAGTCCCCACCCTGAGAGTGCCCTGGGGAACACACATCATGGGAGATGGTTTGACAGGGTGAGGACGTGGTGATGTGTTGGGCGTTGATGATGGACGAGGGTTTAGGGAGTCAGAAGAACTGGGGTGTCTCTGGGGACGGATCACAGGAGGTGAGTTAGGGCAGAACCAGGGATGCCCTGGGAGGCAGATCTCCTTGGGGTGGGTCTGTGGGGTCAGAATAAGGTGAGTCTGGGTGGGTCCAGGAGTGGACCACTCCAGCGCTGAGGGAAGGCAGGACAGAGCCCACTGGGTACCGGAAGCTTTACTGCCCACAACACTCCCCCAACTGCTGCTCGGCATCAGTAGCATTTGCGGTACACGATGTGGGGCCCCTGCTCCTCGTACTCCTCCCGCAGGACCCAGCAGGACTGGAAGGCACGCAACGAGGCCAGCATGGAGCCCCCAATCCACACCGAGAAGTTCCTGCTGGGCTGGGCCTTCACCACCACGTGGGCCTCACGGGGCAGACTGTGCAACAGCTTGGCATGGAAGCGACCCTCGAACCCTGCGAAAAGCGAGGACTCCCTGCAGAGCAGCACTTTCTTGTGCATGTCCCCTAAACCTCCAGAGCCACCTTGGGAAGATTCTGTGTGGCCACGGTGGGGACACTCATGGGCAACAGCCCTGGGATCACAGCGGGGCTGGACAGCAGCTCCGGGCACTGGAACAGCTCCTTGCCCAGCGTGACTGTCCACCCATCGGGCAGCTTCAGGGTCTGCTGGTGTTCCTGCTCCGGCCGGGCCTGCTCCTTGAGCAAGTCGGCAGCCATGTAGCAGTAGCGACGCTTAATGTTCTCCACCGTGTCCAGGTCCTGCTGCCCCAGCGGCAAGCCAGAGCCCAGCAGCATCTCCACCAGGAAGGCGGTCAGGTGGGTGCCCACCAGGTCCAGGCGCTCTGCGGCGTGGGGCAGGTTGAAGTCCTGGAAGACGGGTACCATGTAGGTGACCCCGTGGCCCATGTCCACCACCAGCCCGCTGACGTGCCCTTGTATAGATGGACAGCACTGAATGGGAAGCCACGTACATGGTGGCGGAGTAGAGTGACTCGAAGGCCACCTCCACCATCTTCTCACCATTGGTGGTGGGGCTGAAGGGCGGGTCGGGGAAGAGCAGCGGCTGGTCCTGGGTGAGCATGCGAAGGTCGCACTCCAGCATGTGGTCCAGATGAGCTCTGCTAGGTTCCAGCCACGGTGATGCCATTCCACATGTGCTGCACCAGTGTCAGCTCCGGGCTCATGTGGGTGGCCTCGCTGATGAACATCTCTAGTACCAGCTGCCCTGTGGGGGTCAGCTTCTGGGACTGGCAACCCATAGTGGTGACCAGTCTAGGTGGGCTGGGCCTGCCCCACAAAACCCACCCTACAGGTGCCTGTTCCCATGTTGGTGACCACTGCTCTAATCTTTGGTGGCAACCTGTCACTCACCATGCTTGGGGGGGGTCCTGCCTCAGGGTCTGTTCTCCAAGATTGAGCCAAGGTTCAGGCCAGGCCTGGTCGCCTCTGGGGAAGACTGGGGCTCCAAGGGGTTGGAGTGATTTGCATCCATGGCTCTAGGTCACCAGGTGGGCAGCTTGGCAAAGCTGACCACTTTCCTCTGGGGTGCAGGGTTGTGGGGAGAAAAGGTGAGGCTGGGCCAGTGGCCAGCACAGGCAGAGAGGGAGGGGGGCAGACCAGTGGTCTATGACATCACCCTGCCCTATGCCCCCTTTAGAAGACATCACAATCAAGGGTGGGGGTGGGGCCCCTCCCAGCCCCTCCCAGTCCCTCTCTGGCCCAGAAGGCTTCCGGGATATTCACATATTCTGAATCGCCCCCAAGTGCCAAAGTTGGGGAAGGAGGAGGATAACATTTTCCCGAGGAGGGACCTCTGACCCAGCTGCCTGGTCCAGAGCCCAGTAAGACCCAGGAGTCCTTGTCTTGGTGCCTTGTCTTAAAGTTATGTACAGTGTGGGATGGGAGAGCTGGCTACAGGCCTCCTTAGAACATTAAAATATTAATCCTTAGAATATTCATCAGAAGGTGATCAGCTGGTGTGGCTTAGAAATATACTAAGTAAGAGCATCTTATCCATCACTTTCAAAGTCGGTTTTCAATTTTCCTTTTTAATTCTAGAAAGGCTGAAATACACAACATGAGAAAGTGAAGCCACCCATAATCTCACCTCTTAAAACTTACATAAAGCAAAGAAGTAAGGACTCTGCCTCTGACCTTCCGAGGCCCCTGCTCAGAGGAGACCTGATTAACGCTTTGGTGCACAGCCTTTCTGTTTTCCAATATTTTTGCCTAGAGAATAAGAATAAGCATTTTGCCTGCAATGGTTTTCTCCCTCATGTTTAAAAAAATAGCTATGGTGACAATGTAATCAGATTTTTTTTTTAATTATCTTTTGGAGGGCTTACTGAAATCACACTTTAAAAAACAAATTAAAGAAAAGCTTAATTGTGGTAAAATAAACATGAAATTTACCATCTTAGCCACTTATAAGTGTACTGTCCAGTAATGTTAAGCACATTCACATTGCTGTGCACCCAAGCACTGAAATATTTCATTTCACGAAACTGAAAAAGCTATTAAACAACGACTCCTCCCAGCCCTGGCACTCAGGCCCCTACTTTCTGTCTCTATGAATTTGACTCCTCTGGGGGCCTCCCGTAAGTGGAATCACACAGTATTTGTCTTTTAGTGACTGGCTTATTTCACTGAGCATGATGTCCTCCAGGTTCATCCATGTTGTAGTGTGCGTCAGAATTTCCTTCCTTTTTAAGGCTGATTAATATTCCACTATAAGTTTATACCACATTTTGTCTATCCATTCATCCATCAATGGAAACTAGTGTTGTTTCCACCTCCTGGATATTGTGAATAATGCTGCTGCGAACATGGGTGTAAAAATCTCTCTTTGGGACCCTGCTCTTAGTTCTCTCAGCTATATAACCAGAGGCGGGATTGCTGGATCATATGGTAGTTCTATTTCTACTTTTGGGGGGGCCATCATACTGCTTTCCATAGTGGCAACATCATTTTACATTCCCACTAGCCATGTAGAGGGTTTCACTTACTCCACATCTTCATCAACCCTTGCTATTTTCTGGTTTTTAAAAATGTTATAGCTATCCTAGTGATTATGAGGTTGTAATAGAGCTTTGAGCATCAGCACATCAGAAGGACAGGTTTAGCTCATATGGACTATTCCAGAAAGAACTGAATAGTCTGAGTTCAGTTCCCAGCCGCTGGTGCCGATAGTGATACAGCTGTGTGTGGGTGGGGAAGTGTCTCCCATCACTCCGCCTTACTGAACACATCTGCAGGATGGACCCTTGACTCCTTAAAGGAGTATTTTTGTGAATTTAGATTACAGCCACTTAAGATAATAATAAACATTTTTTTCCCCTTTAAAGAATCCTCATGGCAAGTGAAAGGTGTGTTAGATGACAGCGTGGAATGTGGCATCTTTATGACTTAGAAATGGGTACCACGTCCATTTTTTCTGATGGGGAAATAGAGGCTCAGAGAGGGGAAGTGACTTGCCCAAAGTCACACAGCTGGAATGGGGCAGGAGCGGGATTTGAACCCAGATCTCTGAGATACTGCAGTGCCTGACTGTGAGTCTGGGAAACTGTGAGGTCTAAGATCCATCCCAAACAGTGGAAGTTCAGGCTGGGGCCCCCTGAGCCTCAGTTTCCTCTTGGGTAGAAAGGGGATATTGTGTCTGGCATGTAACAGACGCTAGATTATGTGATATCACAGTGCACAGGGCAGAGAGCATCATGACTAGAGACAGCAATGTGACGATGTGGTTAAGACCACAGATTTGGAGCCAGCTGCTGTGGCTTAAACCCTGGCTCCTCCACTTAATAGTTGAGACAAACGACTACCTTCTCTGTGCCTCAGTTTCCCCATTAGCAAACAGTAAATAATAATAGTACTGACTTCAAAGGGCAGTTATTTATGAAGGGGTCGGTCCATGGATGGCACATAGTAAGTGTAATATGAGAGTTTTTTACATAACTTACAAGTAGTGTGGTCTGTGCGTTGTGGGGTGGGGGGTATGTGTGTGAGCTAATGATAACTGGAAACATCCAAGTAATAGCTTTGAACTGGAATTAGGGATTTAAATAGGCATTTCTGTTGAGAGGGCATTTCTTGGGCAGACATCAACCGGATTCAGAGATGTGCAGTGGACTGGTCCGAAGCCCACGTGGGCTGGCATTTCCACCAACTTCTGAGGTCTCCAGAAGACCATATGTACAGCTTCCCACCAGCAGAGGGCACCCAAGACCACCAGCTTCTTTTCCTTTCCTTCTGCTAAATCCTTTATTCTGTTGGTCCAGGAGTCCTCAACCTTGGCTGCAAATTAGCATCACCAGGCGAACTTAAAAAAATCTCCATGTCCTGGCTGCACCCCAGACCGATTGAGTCAGAATCTCTGCAGCTGGAGACCAAGCATCGATGAATTTTAAAAGCTCCCAGGAGAACTTAGGGTGCAGTGAATGGAGATACACTCATCTGGGTCTTCAAAATTCCTAAATTCTTAATCCCCTCTGATCATCAGAAAGATGCACAGTGAGTCTGGGGTTGTGAGGCACTTGTCTCCGACCAGCAGGTTCTTGTGCTTAAAGCGTATGAGAATCTGCAGGAGGACTTGTTAAAACACAGAGTTCTGGTCCCGCCCAGATATTCTGATTCAGCAGGTCCAGGTAGGGCCTGAGAATCTGCATTTTTAACAAGCTTCCAGGTGATGCTGATCCTGTTCCTCTTTGAGAAGCTTTGCAGCCTTGCAGAAATCTGGGCGATGAAAAGAAAACTCACAGTAAGCTGGAACTACAGGGTTGAGTTATTTTATTTCTAAAATACTATTTTTAACTTCAAAAATTTTAAATGACAAAGTATTTCAGGCTTACAAAGATTACACACACACACAGAGCATCAAAAATACAGAATAAATCACAGCAGACAAGATATGGAAGCAACCTAAGCATCTGTCAATGGATGGATTAAGAAGATGTGGCATGTATGCAGTGGAATATTACTCAGCCATGAAAAATAAGGGGCATTTGCAACAACATGGATGAAACTTTAGGGAATTATGCTAAGTGAAATAAGTCAGACAAGACAAATCCTGTGGTATCTCACTTATATGTGGAATCTAAAAAAGCTGAACTCCTAGACACCGAGAGTAGAATGGTGGTTACCAGGGATTGGGGGTGGGAGAAATGGGGAGATGTTGGTCAAAGGGTACAAACTTCCAGTTAGAAGGTGAACAAGTTCTGGGGACCTCAGGCACAGCATGGTGACTATAGTTAACACTCCTGTATTGTATACTTGAAAGTTGCTAAGAGAGTAAATCTTAAATTTTCTCACCACAGAAAAGAAACCTGTGACATGGAGGAGGCATTGGCTGGCGCTATGGTGGTCATCATTTTGCAATATATCAGTGCATCAGTTCAACACATTGTACACCTTAAACTTACATAGCATTTTATGTCAATTATATCTCAATAAAGCTGGAAAAACGCAGAATAAAAAGCCATGAGTAATACAGCATTGCTATTCGTCCTTGAAGGTTTAAGGCAAGAACGCTCAAGTAATCAGGGGTCGATTCTCTTAATTTACTGCGGTAGTTATGTTCTGTAATGTCACCATGAGCGCTGAATTATTGCTTCTCGGGGCAACGCAGGGTTAGGAAGCTGTAAGCCTTCAGTTACAAGGTTTTCATCAACCAATCAATATATAACTTTGTGTTATGTGTGTTTCTGCTTAAAAACACCTCATTTAATATGTTTTACTGATCCTTTAACGTTGAAATCAGAGCCTACAGCTCATTCCAGAATGAAGCTTATCTAACACGTGCATTTTCTCTGTAAGTCACATCATAGCCTCCTTGAGCTTAAGAGCATTAGACGGCATTTGAGCACTATGCCTGGGAGCCAATTCAAACAGTGAAGCCACCAACAGAAAGCACAAAAGTGTGAAACACACAGCACTAAATAGACCGTGAAGATGGCACGTTCATGGTGTGAGAGCTGAAACCAGGAGGTGGAAAGTTGCCTAGTGTGACATCAGCCGGGAAGCAGCATGCGGGTAATTCAAATTGTGTGTGGCTCTGTGCATGACCTAGGAAGTCCCACCAGAATTGGTTTTGGGACTGCAAGTAAATTTTAGCAAGACGATGAATTCTCCCATATAGGCTTTGCGAATAGTGACGATCAACTGTACACACGCACACACACACACACACACACACACATACACAGACACACACACACACACAGAGGGACTCTCAACCGCCTGTGTGTATCCACAACCCAACATGAGTGACAAAAACATCATGGACATCTGAGAGCCCTCTGTGGATCCCTCCCAGAGAGAACTGTGCCGCTTAGTTTGGGCTGTTTTTACACGGGGCCATGCCAGGTTTTCTGGGACAC